GATTTCTACTCAAAGGAATTCTAATTTCCACCTTCTAGGCATAAAGACGTTTGTCCTCGTGTTTTGAAGACTTCTACTGTCCTAACACTGGCTCAAAATTGTGCTTACTGAAGGTTCTTTAAAGACAGGAGGATTATTTTAAACGAATTTAGTTAACAGGGACAGGCGAACACATGTGATGGGATAATTTGCTCTAACTGAGCTAATCTGTAATAATCATTTCGGTAATTAGTGTTTGCTCAGCATCATGAGGACGAGGAAGGCCACAGCCTTCATTGAATTACTTTTGCGAGAAGAAAAAACCGTAAATGTAACACCTATAGGTCTCAATTTTCCGAATAAATTTGGCGGTAAAAACGCCAACTTCCCTTCAGGACCCAACATTCAGTTTATCCGCAATGTTAGCTAAACACCTTAAGAATGCGACCACACATCCTCATTTCGTCCTTCTACCGGTTTCTTTGTTCTCTGATGCAACGCGTGGCAACAAAAAAATACGCTTTTAAGGAATTTGCTCATTTGGAACATGTCTATACTTGAAGTCGTGCTCATGCTTTAGAGCTAGTTTTAAACGGAGCCGTGGAGTTTATCCATGAGTTGAGGTGTGGGAAGCAGTACTAAAAACCTAGCCGACTTGTGTTTTTTTTAAAGTGGCTCTATAACGAAGTGTTCTTTGAAATGAGAGGTGAATTTAGAGGGAGACTGGCAAGAAGTGGTAGAAGTACTCATGATTCCCTTGATTGTATATCTTAAGCATTCACTGAAGCACCAACGCACCTGGACAGGAAGCAGTTTGCACCAAAACCTCGTTCCGCATTCAGTCCCAATCACTTTTTGACTAAATATAAAGGACACGTATTCAAAACTTTCCTTGTTATTAAGATTAAATTTTTCTGATCAACTTGTGTATTCCCCACAAAAACATATAATGTACTAAAGGAATCACTTTGTGACTTTTTCGTGTGCCCTACTTATTATGTTCATTTTTTCACACTTATACTGACCTAACAATTTTAGGCCAGTTAAAAGCTTGTCAATCGATCCTGAATTAACAGTCATTATATACAACCTAGTCTAATCCTTCAAATTCATTGTTGATCAAACTTGTTATAAAATATCCGAGTCTAGTTTCAATAAATTTTTAAACCCAACTCCGCGACATGACATTCAACAATAGTGATCTACCAGAACGAGGTCCAGGGTGTACGGCAGATGCGTCCAAACCTCTGGATCGAAGTTCTTGATGACTGTCTCGGGAAGTTGTACAGTATGCTGCTGTGTAAAGTCACGCTCCAGCTTCATTTGAACATGGCGATCCAGTTGCTTACGTTAAGCAGCTTCGTTCGGACAGCATAACTGGCCAAAGTAGAGACGCCGCTCGATTGTCTACTTCCGCTGGAGCATTTCTCAGCGGACGAGAATCACAGTCACATTACTTGAAAGTCGTTGCCGTGAAAAGATAAGGATCCTGCTTGATGATGGTGCCTGCCTATTAGTTCCGTCATTTGCTAAAAATCTATGTAAAAGTACCATGTTACGTCTCCATTAATAATGCTTGAATTGTGGCAATGAATGCCACTGCCACAGAAGCGCAACACGGATAGCTTTGCAGAATACCCGTGCCCTAGTATGAAGAATGGCGCAACCGACAAGGCTTTATTGACCAATTACAAGCCAGAACCACACGTCAGGCGACGTCCATCCGAGTCAACCACGCTGGCCACGCCATTCACCATATACTGCTCCTCATTCGTGTCTATCTCTGGTTGGCTGCATTTCTTCCTCGCATGCCACTGGATTGCAGAGGGACAGAGGATTGGCTGAGGCCAGCGTGGACCAACATGTCTGCGCCCTGATCCGACGCCACTGTAGAATACCCGAGCTCTAATAGGTAAAAGACTGGTACAACAGAACAGGCTTTATTGACCAATCACAAGCCAGAGCCACACGTCAGGCGTCTTCCATCCGAGTCCGCCACGCTGGCCACGCCGCTCATTATATACTGCATCTCATCCATGTCCTTCTCTGGTTGGCTGCCTTCCTTTCCCGCATGCCGTTGGATCGCAGAGAGACACAGGATTGGCTGAGGCCAGGTTGTCCAACATGTCTGCGCCCTAATACGACGCCACACCACACCACACTACAGCTTCAGTAAAATTGAGGAATTTATCCACTCTTCAGGCTCTTTTAAGATTGGCCGATAGGATCGACTCAAAAATACTTTTAAACAATTCTGTAGGAACTTGTGGCTTTTTAACTTCGTTACCGAGGTTATCATGAAAGTAAATGCATGGAGGGGAGCCCAGATGTGAAGAACCCGACGTATTACTAAGGCTAACTATGATATATTTGCACTGCAAATAATGCTATACCCATTAAATACGTGTTAAAAATGGTATAGTAGAATTTCGTTTCAATTATTTGTAATTTTTAATAATATATGAAATTTGGTTGCATATTAGTCAGTTGATATTGGTTATCACGTTCCTAAAGGGCTTCACAAATGAGCATTATATTTTCTCAATAATGTAAAACTACAATAGAAAATAAGTTAGATTTCGAAATGAGTAAAAAGTGTTTTATCGCTGAAGGCTTGCTGACGTGGAACAAACGGCTCAGATCTTTCTTTAAATAAATCGATATCAACGACCTGACAGTTTTACGGTATCCCCCCCCCCCAACTCATAGGTGGCTCCCATTCTTTCGCCTGGCTCTGTGTTTTAACATCGAAATTGGAGTCCAACTCTAATCCCGTCTAAAACTTGGACCGTGCCCAAATTACTTTTGCTTTATGTACAGCATCACTTCGATTAATTTGACGAACCAGATTTTTCCACAAACTGATTTTTAATTAGTGGCACAGAGCTAGCCGAATTAAGTGTTGCAATAAAGATTAGATCTGATTATATCGAACCTTTTCCGCATTAAATTCATCATGTATAAATTGGCGTCTTTTCATACACACTACGAATTCAGAATTTTTCAGCATTTAACATTGCATAGACATGTCGGGCTCAAAAGAGACGTTATTAGGGCTTTTTAAGATTTAAATAATGCCGAACACTTCCCAAAACACAAAAAGCCATGTAGTTGGGAAAACTTTCTCAGAACGAATCCAAAATTTCTGTTTACGATTTTTTCCAGCCACTATCATCTACAATGGACGAAACTCCCTTGTCGATGTAAAATCTGTTACAACCCTTTGTTTTACTATACTAGCGTCGTTTGCACACTGCTCAATTCTACATGTTAATACATAGTGCGTATATTTACGGCTTAACCTTGGTTGTTCACTATGCTTCTTGTAATATTTATTGTCTAGGACAACCTAGGGCTGTTATTTAGTCAGCAATTGTCCGTAGTTAATAACTGTGATGAGTTCATGCAAAATCTGATTCCTCGATTACGGAAACACGCAATATAGCACACGAAGAGACAAAAAGTAGTGTCGTACCTAGAACTGCAAAAAGATGCACTTACCCCCCAAACCTACGCCTAACCAGTAATGGTTTTAAGTTGCCATAATCATCTCTACATTTATCCAAGAAGGAAAACAAAAGTTACCAAAAAACAAGTTTAGTAATGTGCTAGTCCCTAGACAATATGCCTTAACGGGTCCCGATTCCAGTTTCATACGCTATTCAAAAAGCCAACTTGTATGCCAGACACAACAGTTCCCCTATTATCAACTCCACTCAAAGCAATTCTGTAGAACAAATAAGTAAATTTTTCGAAGAAATCGGTGAAGAAAGTAAATGTGTTAAATCTGATAAGGTTTCGGTACCACACATTCTGCGCCAATGTCCATAACACTTTGATGCTCTGATCAAAGAGGTCATCAGTCCCCACAAAATTCAAAATTATTTAAAAATAATCCTCCAGAAGCTTCAAGGTATATACGCACGTGGTCCCTATAGCACCCGAGTTATTTATTCTTGAAGCAAGGTAAACAATGACGCTACATTTACGATGCAGCCACACTTCCATACATCGACATTTTCAGGAAGGTACACTACAAGCGAAAATGGCCCAAACACAATTAGTCCTTCCAAGTTCTATTTGTGTTCCTTTAATTACTTAATGGCCTGCAAATCAAACATGACAAAATGTGAATAAATTGATTTGTTAGAAAAAACCTAACTTTCCGCCAATCGCCAATACCGATTAAGTGGAAAAATGGTGCAAACATTACTTCAAACACAAGGGAAAAGATTTTCAAAAGTTACAAAAGCTGAAAAAGAAATTTCTCATTGCCACACTGTACAATTAAGCTGTTGATTTCAAGTCCACAGGGAGGAGACCAGGATCCGAGAGAGTTGTTTACTGCAGTCTAAAAGATCGCAGACAACTGACCTTAGACTGATACCTTCCTTTGTTTCATTCTCTAATCGAAAACGCTTAGAACTAGATTCTGACACCTGCAATCACGTACTTCTTTAATAAGAACCCTTTGGGTAGGCATCGAAAACAAAGACTGTTAAGTCGCATCTCACAAGAACAGAGGAACGAGTGCTAAATTCAGTAGCCTTACATTATTAATTGTCTGCAGAAATTCTGCATTAATTTTCAAGTTGACAATTGGATACTAAACAGCTAATCTGAAGTCTAATACAACAAGCTCTCTTTTACCTAAAGAAAAAAACTTGAAATTTAGTTTTGGGCTACAACTTACAATAGTTATTTAAGGCCATGTTTGACTAATAACAGCACCAAAGCGCTTTAAAAACGACATAGTGTTTTTTAAGTCGCTATTTGTTTTTTTTGTAGATGGAAGTGGTTTGATTTGTATGTTTAAACACTGGTGAAGTATAGATACTTTCAGTAAACCTTAAATACAGGGCCACATTAGTTAGGGTTACGAATTATGCCTACTTATTATGCCTGTAAACACAAGTACAACAAAATATTATCCCTACCAGACAAGCTGTTCTCCAGTCGAGAGGCGTTAAAGTGTTGACATCTCCGAGACACCATGCAAGGCTAAAGTGGAAAACGGGATTCTATTGGTATTTGAGAAATGTTTGTCCACCAGCACCAACCTTGTAATAAGGTTCACCGCGAAAGAGTACAACTGTTTCATCAAGCCGCCGAACAACATCGAGCAAGTTAGGAGAGGCATTTACTCGAACAGCTAAAAAGGACCTGCAACATTGAAAGTGTGACGACAGCCTTACCTTGTTCCTTCTTCATTCACTAGAAACTGAGCCCCGTCAAATATGACAGAAAACCTGCAACATCAGCCAGTAAGAAGCCAAAGCAAACCTGTGACTGGCAGCAGCGAGTCCACGAACTGCTTCGGTGAACCCTGGAATCCAGTGATGAAGCAGGGGCCAGGTTTTGGTTAGGCTCAAATGAAAATCTTCACAAATGTGGAATTGATGCCTGCTCCCAAAAAGAACCTTCTCTACATCGTTCAGAAGACTTCTAAAGTAGTTTTCAAGGGCAGAATTAGCTGAAATTTCAAAAATGCACTTATATAAGAGTAGCGCATCACAGTTCATTCTATGCATTTTTGTGACATCTCCATGCATTCGTTTAGGAATACTATGCTGTATAATCCACTAATTCAGCCAAAGCATTCATAACCAGCTTAAGCCTGAGACAGGTTGATCGACAACTAGGCACAAGATTCCAGTAAACGCATATGAAATCAGTTCACACTCTTGTACACAATGCTTTAGATTAATGTAAAAGTGTGTTCACTGCTATAGTAGAATTCACGAGCATCTTTATTACAGTAAACGCTACTAAAATTAATAAACTTGGCATATCAGGGAGTCGATCTTACCAAAGGGCAAAAACGATGATATCGAGATTTAAGAAGAGCATTCAATTCAGCATGTCCTTGTCATGATAGCATACAGGACCAAAAATATTAAAGACTTCGATCAAACTAACTGTTTAAATTCTTTAATGGTTCCTTACACTTGTTACCAAATATTTAACGCGGTCGTATCAAAGCTCTACAGCAAAACAACACAACAAAAAGCAATAATAGTCTAGATGAAGGCCTGCGTTGATCACGACATAATCATTAAGTCGACACTTCCTGATAGCTGAAACAACGCGGATCGGAAGTTGTTTCATGGTTTATTTATTTTTTAAAATAAATTGTTTACATTTTTTGCCTTAAATACCTAGAAATATGGGAATAATCTTCAGTACTTTATTCTGTGCAAGCTGGCCTTATTAAAAGTGAATACAATTATAAACCATGAACCCTTGTGGAAAATAAGCAGTACTATTACAACTAAATCAAAGTCAGTAAATAATTTTACCCGGAGCAAACACACTGGTGGCCCAGTTTCCATGTTTATGTGGGAAATTTCGAAGGCGTCCATCCGTAGGCGGGTTTCGACTTTGATTACCAAAGCGCACCATATCGCCCTCAAGATCACACATAAAATGAGGCAGTGTAGAGTACTCTTCGCCATTTTCGGGCTCCTCTTCACTTGATGAATACCCAACCAAGGCCATAAATCGGCCGAGGTAAAAATAAACCTAAAAAAAGTTGTGTTCACAATCCCAGCACTTAGGAATGCAAAACTACTTTTGCAAGATATCTCTTTAATATATCATGATAGGAACTTGTTCAGGCAACTTGTTTAGTAAAGCCTAATAGTCTATAAAGAATAGCAACAAATAAATAATACTAATCGTTTTGTCTAAGTAGATTAATAAGAGACCGAATCATTCAGGGAAATTCGTACATAAAATTTGCAACTTATTTGATCGGTCTTAATAAACCAAACATTGGCGGTGTTTAGACAGGTGCTGCAACATTCTTAAATTGAACCACTATGACAGAATATAAAGTCCAAGCCACACTAATGTATGCGAATGCGAGCAACACTAAGAGCACTTGGTCCGTGAATACAATGGCTCCAAGTGACAAATGCTAGTTAGGCAAGTGATATCACAACAAGGGTTTATACAGAAGTCAGGAAAAACGCCCACTAAAAAGAGAATACATCCGACAAGATTTGACTGCATAAATCCGAATTCACTAAATGTAGAATAGCAGAGACACCCAGCTAAACACCTAACCAAAAAAGCCGCAGTTCGGGGAATGACCTAGAGGTTTAATTCGTATTTTTTGTCCACGCTCAGGCCATAAAATTTGATTCGAAACATTATTTCATATATGATAAAATTTTTAAAAATTAATATAGGCGTTTACAGTTTAAATAAATAAAAATATGAGTTAATCTAACTAAAATAAATACTAGAGTCGGGGCCAGATTGCTCTTTCATGATACAGTCGACGAATTTATTTACTTCCCTTTGCTCTTCACCGTCAAGTGTATAGCTCTTCACTCTTGATCAATTGGTCAAAAAATTGCATTTCATGAAAATATATCAAAACCGTCTCTTCGTCTTCAAGTTTTATGCAACTGATGGAAGAATAAGTATGTTAAATTCAGCACATAGGTTTTAGTTACTTTTAACACTTTTAAATGCACCGATATAAAGCTGCTTGCAAGACATACATTTTTAATACTTTAAACTACAATCTAACAACTTATTCAAGCATCCCTTTTGCCAGCAGTATAAATACGCTTTTCATTGTTGCGTAATTATGAAAGATTTTTCACTTGGACACCTGAAAGGACCGTTGTTTTCCTATTTGTTACACGTGCAGTTCATTATTCATCGATCAGTGTTTAACATTTTAATTTTAAAAAGGTTTTGGTTAAATTTACACTTAAATTTTTAAATGTTCCGACCCGGTCAGCAGTCTCCTGACTAACAGTAATTGTTTTTGACAGGCCGATTTCCAAGGTGGTTTTCACCAGAAAATTTCCCTATGAGCTATTATCTGCCGTACGTATATTTTGTTAATTTTTCGGATGCACTTTCATAAATATCATTATTTGATCGTTTTTTTAAATTTATTTCAATAACTTCAGTTGCATATTTAATAAACTACATGCAAATAGAAATTTAAGGTCCTTTGAAAGCTACATTATTTCGTTAAAACTAATATATTGTAAAATAGAGAGGCAGCTCTTTACTAGAATTTCATTTAAGCTGGAACTGTTCGATCAAATAATTTCTGCTAGCAAATAGTTATGAATGGTCGAATAGCATTTTCGTTTCAAAATATACTTTAAATCTATGAAGAAATGCATTTTCCAATTAAGTGTAAATGATGGAGATATCCTGTGTCATTATCGGAGAACGTAACACGATGTACGTGATTACTTCCCCAAGACATCTGACTATTGAGCAAACATTCCCACTTTAAGATGATATTTGATCTTAACGAAAAACTCGATTGTTAGCACTACTTTTTTAATAATTAAGTCGCTCAAACGTAGCGCAGGTTCCCAGCCAGACATTTCGCAGCCCAGTTCAATTTTACTGTAATATTGGCACCATGCGCTACAGACCGCGGTGACTCCCCAAGCGTACCTACGACTACAAGGAACTTCGCTCAATTAATCGAGTTACCTGTCTGTACACATTTTTCACATTGTAGAAGAACATGATGCCATCGACCGCCACTACACGGAATATGCTAAGTATCTTATCTGACCATGTCAGACTTTTTGAATTCAATCACCAGATGGGCCCAGAAGCATTGCTCACAATCCATTACTTAACAAATGCCAAAGTAAATCCGTTTTTAAAAAGACGGTCACATTGTTTTAATATTAACTAAACAGGAGGAAAATGTTTAAATACTAGTTATATTGCTGAAAAGATGCTTTGAGGGAATGATAGGACGTGGATGAAGATAGAGCAGTCATGATAAGGGTCAACCATTCGAAAAGTAGTTACTTAACCCTTCTACAAACAACATAGCCCTTTTGAAGGAGTGGTTTTGCTAATAACCCGCCGGGGATAAATTAAGTAAGCGCCTTCCTTATCAGCGCACATTATTCCACCACAGAAGGGGTTTGTCCTTGACGTCGCTAGGCATCCGCTTACCAACGTGTCATCGACTGGCTGGATCGTGTCGATACCCCGTCTCCTCCTTTCCTTCATTGTGTGGTCAATGCGCTGACTACAAATGCTTTGCTGCACGCGCTGCAACCAGTAAATTCTCGACAATTTAGTGTCCAGTAGCATAATCCGATTGTCTGTTGTGTAGATTATTTCCGACGGCACAATATTGAACATCACGCTGGGGGTAAACTGTGTAAAGGTATCAGTTGTCAAATCAAGAATAAAAACTTTGTCATCTAGGGGACAACTAGCCCAGACTTCATTTTCTTGCTTGGCAACACAAAGGAAGGATGGTGATAGCTGAGGCTCGTTTAGGAACCATTCTCGATCTACTTGCTTCAGATCTTCGGGGTTCAGACGACAGACCATGGCGTTAGCACAAAGAGCAACATAGACAGCGCCGGTTACTCGATCAACGTCCAATCCTGCTATTGTAGGACGACCAAGATTGGTCATGCCAACCGCATCGCGCAGAAAAATACTTGAGACGTCAAGTATGGAAAACTTTTTCTCTTCAGTGTCGCCACTAGTAAGCTCTTCAGCTGTGAATTTGTGGTTCGGATCTGGCAAGGCACAGCATATAACGACGCCAGGGTCAACGAGATCTGGTGAGATCGACACATCGCCAGAGACGTCCCCATTTTCACTCGGTTGTCGTACAATAACGGTCATGTAAACACGTGTCCTGAAAAAGCGCATGTACTGAACCTCGAGCTTTCCCATATTGGAGATGTTGTCAAGACTCCAGCACTGTCGCAGAACTGCGTCCGGGTTTTTCTCAGGTGATTTGCTCGAATTCGTTGATATTGTAAAGCTTTCACGACCAGGATGAACAGGGACCCTTTTGCGCCATAATTGAAGTAGGCCGGTCATCCCGTCAGCGCCGAGTGTATATTGCATCACATGAGTTTCATCTCGGTTGGGCAAAAGGTGCATACCAACGTGGGATATCACCTCACTCGGTAACCCATTGCATTGACCAAGCGCCTTTCTGAGACAGACGTAGTCTGAATTCCTCATCATTTTTGTCCGGGCCGTCAAGAGTTCACGGTAGTTGGCGTAACTTGACCTTTCTGGATCCGATCGACGCGCACCACGTGTTGCCATACCAAGAGCATTATTGGCAGCCGAATGAAACCTCCCACTATTTCTTATCGAAGGATCGCACTGTCGTTGTCTAGGCGACGACTTCCTCACATCTGGGGGAGGAGGAGGAGGAGAGGGGGGAGCAGGGGGCGCGGAAGGTTCAACAAGCTCAGGCTCGGGCAAGCTGGAAGGGGTCCGATGACGAATCTGTTGAATTTCCGACAGTTCTGCTAATTTGCGTACTCCGTGAAGCAGCTGAGCCAGATTCAAAACAGCGTTACTTCCGCTTCGCTTTAAGGCAACAATATCGGCGACAAGACTGTTTAATGCGTCTGATGTTACATTTAATGACGTCTTACGACGCCCGATAGGAGAGGGGTTATAAAAACTGCTACGTGAAGAACTTGGTCCACCGCTGCAAGTCCCAGAATCGCTGGGCTCAGACATGAGGGTTTGACTGCGAATGTACTCGAGGACCATAGTGTGATTAAAAGATTTAGGAAAGTCCCGAGCAGCATGTGATTCGGGTATCGGATGAGGGGCGCGGCAAATAGGACAGGGGAGTTGAGGATGAGCCGACGAGCTTCCCTTGTTAGGACGAGAGAGGATTTGACTAATGTAGGAGTCGAGGCACTGCCTACAAAACACATGACCACAGGGCAGAAGACGAGGATCCTCCAAAAAATTTAGATCTATTGGACAAGTGACCATTTCTTCCAGCGGTTTGAGGTTCATCACCTTCACGCGAGAAGACGATTTTGCCTGAGAAAAGGAAAGCATAGCTATTGTCACCTTGTCTTCATCTTCATACGAATCTCCCACGTGATCGATAATCGAAATGGTTTGAGCATGATTACCGATGTTTAAACTAAATAAGTAACTAATGACAAAACCAATAAGCAATCCTCTTTGAAAATATTCCTCCAATAACTATTAATAACTCGTGGCCAGGAGAAAAAGGAATTTATTCCAAGACATTTTTTATGTGCTAGGATCAATTCAATCAACAGATAAACTTAAACAGAATTAATTTAACCAAAAGATAATGGAGGGCAACAAAAATCGAAAACAGAATCTGTTTTTAGTGAATACCGACTGCCTGAAATTTTTTTGGGAACACAGTGAAATTAAATTACAATTCTCAGTTCGCCTTAAGTAAATTTTTAGCGCACGATTTGTTAAGCAAACTAAAAACATGTTGACTTCAATACGATACGAAATCCGTAGCGTAATTTAAACAACATGTCCAGCTTGCTTTTAGTCTGGTAGTCAGGTCGGCTGCTTCAGAAGAAATCGCCGATCGGTAAGCCGCTGGTAAGACAAAGGCTCAGCTGCGCAAAACACACGCGCACACAATCAAGCGAATAGTCATCAGACGACAAATTACTCATGCAGTGGGCATGACTGCGACCCAATATCAGCACCAGGGCAGTGTGACGCAGATGGTCCCACCAGTAAATCAACAAAATGGCCCACAAACGAGATTTCCCGCTTGATACGCGCTATTAACGACCCAACGTTATTGAAAAAACTGGTAGGAGAACATAATTTAGATCTTTTGGTCCTTTTGAAGGCGATGAAAATATCCCCCACGTTTAAAACTCCGTCATAGTCTTACACCGGACACGTTTAAAATTCCAAAGAATATACCGTTGCAAAACGTGTAATCAGTAGGCAAAAACAGCGGTTCAACGGACTCAATTACTATTAACATTTAAATTGGATTATCGATATTGACTGTTGACGTATGGGAAAATCAATAAAAAATTGCTATAGGCTTAGGGAATAGAAGCCTCGATAGGAGATGGAGTAGCTCTAAAATCTTGGCGCTTAAAGGGGGTCTTGATAATAGACGAAAGGCTAGATTTGCTAAGCAGCACCTCACTAAGATTTCCTGCGCTTAAGTTTATCTCCTCTGACAAAAGCACACTGAACCAGCATTGAAGAAATCCCCACCACACTGTTCAAAACGTCGTAAAAGTCTAGGCGAAACCAGGTGGCATTAATCCGCCCCAAACACCATTAAAGGTGGCACAAAATGTAAAAGATACTTCCTGTAGAATATTTTTAAAACTAGCCAAGAAGCAATACCACTGGTGGGTAAATCGAAGATGTGGGGGCGGATGAAGAGCACCGTTTGAAATACTCGTTGGTTGTATTAACACGCTCAACCCTGGATCCAAACAGATGAACAAGCACAATACTGGCAAATGATGAAGTTACAAGCAATATGTGAAAAATCCCAACTTTAACTGTCGGTCACAACATCAGTTTTAAATCGATTAAATCCAAAATTTGCGCATCTGAAGAACGCCCCCACTACCGAAGAAAAGCGGTGTTAGTAATGCATCACTTTAATTACACGCAATCGATTACTTAACGATACTCTTATCCCCACAGTCACAATCCCTCCAGTCCATGGAATTATCAAAATAATCCATCCTTAGGAAGAACAACTTTGGTAGAAAAGTTTAAATCGTGCCAAGAGTAACAAGTAACATGAGTAACGGGTTGTTAGTCACCAAATTGCCCAGTCTTAGACGCGCGTGAAAAGGCTTATGCAAAAATTTTCTTCGGTTACTCATATATCTCCGTAAGTTAAGAACGTGACATGTTTTTAGTGGCTCATCATCGAAAACATGTGACCTAAGCTTGCTGGATAATGGATTTTCTAAGAGTGATTGACTGCAGTATCTTCAACAGAAATGTACATAGGATCGAAGGTTTTGACAGCTCTGTTTTTGCTTGCACTTCTGTGGCACCAGTCGTTGGCTTTTTAACACTGCAATTAATCCCCAACGTTAGTGAATTAAGACCTCGTCAGAAAAGATTCAGCACATGCGTCACGGTCAACAAGGCAGTCCATTTTCAATTACCCAAAACTGTTTCTAGAATCAAGTAACTTGCAAAAAATTGCCTAAATTATTTACAATGATCAAAGGTCATTAAGCTAATTGTCATCAAAAAGGCTCACGTTATGCGTGCAATAGCGTAGACAATGTCATAATATGCCCTACTTGTCTGTACTGCATTCCAAACATTCAGCCTTGCATCCCGGAGGTCGATACTTTTCCTTTAGAAAAAATTCATTCCTGTGAACATGTAGCACTGTATGCGGTCAATACCACAACAAATAAATTACAACCGTCAACAAAGGACTTGCGCAAGTTGTACAGGTAAAAAGTCAAATCGTTGCAACGGAGTTTGGACTTAGTAATATACTGAATTCATTTAACCGAGGGTACTCAATCTAAATTACCAAGATCCAGCAATAACACACCTCATAAGTCGAGCTTAAACATTAACTTGTGCTGGTTTTATCATGTCACAGTAAATTACGCCAAACGTGAGAAAACATCTGGTCACCTACTCGGAACTCCAGTTTGCTAAACAATCGTGAATATAAATAACATGCCTCGGTCCATGATATGAGGGCGAGAATTGGTATTAAGTGGCAAATTCTATGTTCCTTAATCCAGCTTGGGCGCTTGGCGAAGGAAGCGTTAGTAACCCAATTATGTGTTTGGGCCAAAAATACACCCGAAAACAAACACGCCAAGACAGTCAAAACAACTACAACAAGACGACGTTGTAAACAAACACATGACAGGCTGGTTTCTGGAGACCGATATTTGGTGAACTGATTTTTATCTTGACTACAATTAATTTGCGGAAAACTGATTACAGCATTTAGCTTCATGTTAATACAGGTCTATTTCTAGCGGGAGCCCTAAACGTTAGAAAAGTAGATAAAAGATAATGCCTGGGGCCTATTCCTTCGAGGTAGCAAGTTTAAATGCACCTTAGGTAGAACATTTCAAAGAGAGAATCGACTTTAATTGAGGATCAACTTTGTAAGAACATTACTGAACTGAATAGACAGACGCTGTGTTTTCCTGTTCTAGACCATGACTGGATTTTAGCAGTACTACCTTATTACCTTATTAAACTCGTTATGGCTTTTAACTTTTCAAGTTTTTCCGTACACACCAGAAAGACAAGAATACCATCCTGAATCAATCAATTCCAGTTTTTTTTAGGGTTTGGTGGATGGTACGACCGCATACTAACAGGTCTATACCGGTGCTTATTTAGTAAAGCAAGTTTTCTAGTTCCAGGATATAACTGTCTTTTAAAGCAATGGAATGAGGCTGCAGAAAAGGCAAGTTTTAATGCGCAGATAATTTACCTGTAAGTATTAAAGGTAACACCATACCTCACGGTCAAAACAACTAAACCCGTCAAACCGTAATGCTTTTCATAGTTGCGTCTTTGGTTGATCAAAGCGTTTAAATCGCCTCGTTACGGGGGATGATAAACGCTCAGTTTGAGCCGGCCAGCGAGGGCAATGTTGTTGGCCTGTCTCACGCGGCTTAACAAACTGCACAACTCACACACGCATACTAGAGTACGTCAGTATATTGTCAACCAGTTGTAAATGGGTTGTGGCAAGTCATTCAGAATGTTTGCCCTCTGACACCGGAAATGGACACTTCTAGTAGACCTTCACATCCTAAGAAAATTGTGAAATGATATCTTCGCCATAATTGATATGTTTAGCTAATATTTACGTCACGTTAGCACGAACTACCCTATTTTCTTAATTTTAGAATACTCAAGAAAGCGGTAGAATTTACTTTTCTTCGTGATTGCGTAAAAAGAGGCTGCGCCCTAAGTAAATACACTTTGGCATGCAAATATCACCAAATGTTTTGCATGGAAAACGCTCTAGTGAAATAGGTTTCAAATAGGGGCCTATCAGTGGAATTCATCACCCATTTAACCTATCCTAACGTGGGTTAAATATGAAAAAAAAATACTACAATTGCGTATTTAAACAATGTCACCCACACCAACGCGTAACGTGGAGTGTGCGGGAGAGAAGCACAAATCAATGTCCCAGTGTGACTGCCCTTCTCCCGTAAGTTAATATTGGACATTTCAAGTGAATTGGTACACAAATTTCGACTGCACGAAACGCTGCGCTGATGTCCCACAGATTTAGACTTATTTTACAACTTAAACTTATTTGCGCAACCAGATGAACTCAATGATAATGCCAAAAACGGTGTGCAGATTATAACGTCAATCACATCACAATTTTTTTACGCTAAACAAACTGGCTGTGGTACAGCAATGTTGGGGTCAGTCAGAAATCTTCGTGGAAAATCTTTACGGTCATAAAGGAATCGCACAATCTGGCTTACACTGGTGCGTTATCACCTCCCCCAGGCGCCCACTCTCGATCCCGTTGACAAGCAAACCGTCCACTGCTACAGTCCGTCATTTGCATACCCAGTAGTTGTGTTGTTGTGACCAGAATGTCCGGCCTATGTCGTCCAATATGATTTCGCTATTTGTTTTCAAAATAAACCTCACTGAAGCGAGGATACATTACAAAATTGATAACTGCGCGAGAGTAAAGGGCAGTCATCTCCGGTGGTGATTTGAACTTTTAAATTTACTACACTTGATTAGCGATTTGCAAGTTGGTAATTCGGCGTAAATGGATTTTTGTCACAGGTCTTTGGTTCGTGGAACGAGAAGTACGGCAATTTCATTTAAGTTTAAAGCGCTTTGATAAGTAAATGGATAGAATCGATGCATGGAGTATTTCCTTTAATGGCCCAGACGGTTTGTCAAATTCGGGAAGTTGAAGGGCACAATGGTGGACAGCATAATTTTAGCGAAATGATCGACGTAAAAACCTCTTAGTCACAACTCGATAGCCCTTTTGCTCCTACCGGGATTTAGTAGAGCACCGTACCTGTTTGTTCGAATGAACGGCTAGAGGTGTGAGGCGAAAATTCCCCGAACAAAAGGAAGTTAGGTGCTACAATTTTACACGGAGGTATCACTGTTGAATACATATTTTGGTTCCTAGTTTTGCTAAAATGTTCTAGGAAAACTGGAAGTGAAACCAGCACTATGATAGTTAAGACTACTAACACGTTAGTACTTACATTTGCGTGAAATTCTGACTGCAAACAGTACCTAGAGAGTGGGTCTTTATTGGCGAAAACAGTCCTCGGTTATACGAAAAGTATTACCAATTCTACCAGCTGTAACTACATAGAAGGCATTTAGATTCTAAAAACTACGCAGTGGAAATATCACTGCCTTACCCAAATTGAAGATTAGTGTGCAGCGAGAAATAAAAGCTACAGAACAGGTGGGTTGGACTTTTTTAGTTGCTCAGTTAGGCCTAAAAGTAATAAAGACTTGACCGCGAATTGTGCCTTCCAACCAATCCAGCGACTATTAGTGAAAGCTAGTGAATTTAAATTTGAGTCGGTCGTCCTTTCATAAAGTGTAGGCTTTATGAGATTTAGACCCGGTTATTCTCAGGTTATTCTTAGCAAACCGACAGATAATGATACCATGTGGTTGTTTTTCCGTGACTAGCCTTTTTATAGATCTAATGTAGCCCATTTACTTTAACCTATTATGTTCGGTACAGATGTCGTCCACATTAGCGAATAGGTAGCGCTGGGTATAAAATCATGCCACTATATGTCCAAAGAAAAATACCAGAAAATTCTACTATAAAGATAAATACTCACCGAACCCTTCACCTCAGGAAGGTTTGCGTGAAACGATCCCCTTCGAGGATTTCTGAAGCTTAGATTAGCTGCTGACAGCCGAGAGCACGATCCACCAAAGGCAGACATCATGTATGTTTTTGAACTAGATTTCCTTGTTGTTCACTTAAACGACTAAACGTGGAATAGACCTTTTAAAACAAACTCCAGCAGCGTCCCTTCTTTGGTAACCATAGTGAAAAGCATCCGCGTGGGAAGCCACCAGCCATGGCCAAAAAGGCAGAAATGAAGCTGGTCTTCGCCAATGCGACGTTTGCGTGTGTACACGTGACGAACCAAAAGGCAGCAGTTGTAAGTCGTGCTTTTCAATTGGCTAGTGCACTCCCGCTGCGCTTCCAATCGGCCATGCGGTTGCAAGCGCATTAGCCAATCAGTGCATGAGTAACCGATTTGGCCTTGCCCCAAATCTGTACTTTTTTCTATAACGCTTCGTTCATCTTTCGCCAAGGCTGCGAATGCGAGCTGTTTGGAAGTCTTTGCATCCGCCTGTTTGTAGTAATCTGATTTTTTTACTGGTACAAGTAGGTCGCGGATAGAAATGGATTCCACAGGAGCTCACGTGTTTTTCATAATTTTTTTCCGGAAGAGCCTATCTTCCCAAGTAAACAGTATTATCAGACAAAATGAATCACTGTCAATGTAGTTAGTTTTTAGAGGTTTGTCCCAAGTTTTACTGCCTTTAGTGTCGCCTATGAAAAATGCCAACAAAAGTGCGTTAACGGATTGAAAGTTGATTTTATCAAAGGGCCTCTGACAAGCAGAATGAGCTACTTCGAGTATCTGCAATGCCCATTTTGGCGGAGTTACAAGCCAAGCAAGTGTTCTCTTGAGTGAATACCTGTCGAATTAGCTCGAAATAGGTATCGTGAACAGGTTACATACCCCCGACATCCCCAATAGAAATTGTTGTGAATCGTGTTTATTCACATCCCTTAATCCGGTCGATACACCTCCGACACTGGGTTCCCCTTTTCGCAGCATGTCGTCAGCCGCGCGGATCCTCAACCCTCCCCTCATTCACACTATCTTAGATTATCCTCACACATAGGTCTCGATGTCAGCGCATGTGTGACTCACACTTCCGAGGTATAAATATACACGCGCAAACCCCACACACGACACAACGACACCAACGTGGTTGAGCTCTGAAGTAAACGGTTGTGTCCACGTCCTCTCCGGTCTTTTTCTTCATCGCGGGCATCAGGCAAACGTAATCGGGTCAGGGTTAATTCCGTTGCCCCGACGTGGTTTAAGACCACATGCTGGGGCCCACAACAAGATAAAAGAGTAAGTACGGTCCCTACCTCCCTCGGTTCTTCGAACGAGCCTGGAGCAATTTAAAGCATCCACCTGTGAGTCGTTGTAAAACACTAAAAGTGAGTATCAATGGCTCACAGATGTGCTGGGTCTGATAATAAGTTCCCAGGTTATAGTAGATCTGAGAAAATATGAAATCCAATAGGTCTACTCAGCGAAGTTATATTGCTTGAACCTCGCTGCACCATTAGCACGGGTAAACCGCCACCGACACTGGCGAGTGACTGGCCGCCCAACTCAGTGTTTTCACATGCCCTGGGCATGTATTTGTTAGTCATAGTTTTATCCGACCCACCCTGGCCCAAACTTGTGATGCACCGCCACCATGCACGTGCGGCATCACGTGACACTGGTGATGTTGAGCCGTTGAACAGAATTTAGAATGAACCAAACTCAAAAAACAGCAACTGGATTTATGCCAATCGAACCCAATGATACCGCTCAAATGGAGAACCGAATTACTTTGTGCAGCTGGGTGTATGCCAATAGATACCACATCATTATTAATATAGGTGTAATTTTTTTGGAACATGATTAAGGGTATCTGCATGGACCCTTTTATGAAATTTAATGGAGGATGGTGGTTGAATAAACAGGTTTTTTATCAAAGCTCCGTAACGATTAACGGAATTCCGTTGTTACTTCGAAGAAGGATTTAGTTTCGCCAAGGGCGTAAGTGGTAGATCATTCGAGTTTTAGGGAAGTCTTGGCTCAGTTACTCAATATCGGGTTCACCAGTTAGCACGGCCGTCTCTTGCCAGACTCAAGGTTGTTCTTTTCCGATATTTTGGGCTTTGTCGTTTACTCAACCAGCTGGGTTATAAAACTTCCGAGGACCTTCGGACAACACTACGTTTAAACTATTGACAAAGTCAAACAGGTAGTCCTAAAATATCAGTTGGAGAGGTTTTGTGAAAAGAATAATGAGAAGAGTACCAAGTTGAAAAAAAATTACTCAACACAATGGTTCAATTATTGTGAAGAGCATAATCGGTTCAGTGTAATTGTTACATTTTGAAAAGAATAATCGTACATATTGAGAAGTGGATATACGCAGAAATAACAATCAGAAGCGGGCAAAAAATATTGCTGCCGACGTATTTGAATAACTGTGGTTTGTGTATGGGAAATCATTTTAAAAGATGTTAACTGCCAAAAAAATTGGTAACTGGTGAAAATTTTTTGAAGCTTAGTAGCAAAGTAATATCATTTCTTTCAAGTAACCCTGAGCATCGATCGTAAAATTGCATTTTACTTCTAGGTTTTCGATACTCCAAGAATGACAGCTTTCACTAATCATGATTACCTAAATTCGTGCTTGGTTCATTGTTACTGAAAAATGTCAGAAGTTTTAGGTTGATTCTTGCCTTTCCACGCATTTGCCTAATTCAGCTAAATTCTACTTATGGTCAAGATGCCTACTTTTATCCATCGTTGCCCTTCAAGTTTCGAAGCTTATTCAATCAAATTATGGTTTTCATTAAATAAAACGATGCCAGTCAGAAGTCAACTTCTAACCCAACATCAGTCTGGCATTGCCAGTGATGTCAGTGTGACATTCATTGGACCATGAAGCATACACCCGTGTTAACGCCCAACAACTCTTGATGTGAGTTTTTGTGCAGAATCACATTTAGCTAATGCCCATCTAAAACTGATAACCACAGTCTTGTTACATGACAAATTTACGTTGCATGGGTAATGGGTTCATAATCGCCCAAGACATACCTGCTGAAATTATTCATATTGTACCAATGACCTAGTCGAAGGTAATCTGGGGTATTGGAAACCTTTATGCGCAGTGACAAGAAGCGTTTCACGTAAGATGAGCCCAGGCGCCATTTTTAGAAAGTGACATTAGTGGAGACCAACTTCAAACATAATGACGCTGCCTTAGAGAAAAAAACCGTAAGTTCTGATCGGAGCAAGTCCACTGCGACCACCCGTTAAATTGCTACTGCCCAATTGTCATTCATTGGATTTTATATTGATACAACAGGGGCACATCTAATATCCAGCAATTTTATTACAGCTTTGATTCTCATAAACATTATGTTTCATTTTAAAATGTAGAAAATGTGTAAAAAAAAGATTGACTGCGTGTAGGGAACGTTTTTTTGCAAATCGAAATCCCAATGTCTTAGATGATGGTCGCTGTATCAAACCAATAATCCAATCTCAGACACAATCCATGTCATGTGAGCTGGTGACTCAGCCTCAGATGTTATTCCCAAGATCACCAAACCTGTTGCCGCATGGAAGTTTGAGGGAGTAAGCCTTAAAATACAAGATTCTCCATTAAGGGGGAAATGAGTCACTCAGTTAGCCTAGAAGGTAGACCACATGACGTAAAATGTCGAATCAGCTCAAAGACGCAACAGCTTTGCAGACATTTGGCTCAGTCATTAGGATCTTTTTTAGGATTACATGAACTGCATTATCAAGTGCCGAAACATTAATTTTAAACTCATACCAGCTTCTTTTCCCAAACTAGCGCATTGAGAAACGATACGATTAATTTTATATTGGTTAAATGCCTGCAATGGAAAGTAGGTGAATGCGGCCACTCATTTTATAGTACCCATTTTTAGAAGAAACCATTTCTAAGTACTTAAACGATTTGTTAGCAAATAAAGTTGGATTAGGGCTACTAAATCTTAAAGCAGGAAGCCCAACTACTAATATACACATTTGCAAGTCTTAAAACCTTACATTGACCTGACCTGGCAAACTCTGTGCATTATTAGAAACTGGCGTAGTTGGAATATAAGTTGGTTAATCAAACAGTGGCTTACAAGATTGCACTCCCTTTGCCTTCAAAAACACAAATTTCATTGACTATTTAGGAATACTAATGAATCGACGTAACAATCGTGTTAACTGTTTGATCGGCCTTAAATATAGAAGGCATTTTTTAGATATTCTGTCGTGTAGCATTTTCCAATAACATCAAATTTTCTGAAAGATCCCACAGAATGGCTTAATGCTATTAAGGGTTACTGAGGTCCCGAATCACACGAAACACAGAAAGTCCAGCTGCGAAGAAAACCTTCGAGCAGTACCACTTTCAATGCGACTTTTGGTGTTATGATAGCTATTGAAAATGGTTTCGACAAAATACTGATCTGCCACACGCACGCATCAAATGAAGCATTGTGTCTCATTGAAATAATAAATAAACAGGATATTTAATCTGTTACTTGCATAAGACCCTGATCGTTAAACCGTTGCGGTTGATCGAAGCCTTATTTACACCAGCAAAACTGAACAAATATGCTAAATAGCAGTATGAAAGGTTCTCTAGTATCGCCACTGCCTTAAAACCTGATTTTATTTGACACAGAAAAAGGCTTTGTGATTAAATAAACGACTGCTCCGATTTAGTTGCAAACAACTTAATTCGATCTACAATGTGCCTTAAGACTCCGGTGGACCACTCAGCACTACCATCAAAAATAAACCACTCAGCACTCAGCATCAGAATAACACATTGCTTGTCGTTGACCGTCTCTACAATGGCGCATCCCTTTTCAGGTAAATTCATTGACTCTTCATCAACTGTTACATCTAGGGGCTTCCGAAAAAAGTCACCTCGGTTTCCTCGGTCATTCACGTACATTGTGACGTTGACATCGAAAAGTTTGTTTTGTTCCTGATGTACAATATCCATACACACTGTTCGACGAGGGTTTCCATAGTGTACCTTCTAATTGGTAAAACAAAACAAAAAACAGCACCATTTTGAACCAAGCCTTTCAACACTACCGATTTGTTACGGCCCTAGATAACGAAGGCCTGGGTTTGAAAGCTGTTACCACCGGTGAAAATTTTTCTAAGCACAAGTTAAGAAAAGGATGAATCATTATTTCACAGCCAACCCAGCGTTTGTGAAAGATTGCAATAGGGGAGCAGGAAGGTGTGAGTCACCGGGGCTGCTGCTGCTGCTGCCGCTGCATCCCACCAGTGAACGGTGCCTCCCTTTTGTGGACTGGCTACAGAGGACTGAACAAAGTGAGCGCTTCCGAATAAGTAGACTTCAAAAATGCCTTTTACATAAATCGACACGAACGGCACACTTTCTGATTCGCATAAGACAATCAAAATTTTGGTCGTGGCACAATGGGGGATTCGCTTGATACAAATACTCTAGATGAATGTTTAAAATTTAAAAGAAATATCCCGATTTCAAAAAAACTTGAGGCACTTGCAAAATGCAAATTCTCCTCTGCTAGCAATGTGTCAGTTGCCCTAATATCGAGGCGAAAAGTCCAGTATATCCTACCGTAACAAGGATATCACGCGTAAACTAATTCTACTCTTGTTCCTTTTTATCCACCATCGATAACAGTGCGCCCTTCTGTTCTCTGTGATATTTCTCAATGAAGTTAAGGTTGTGCGATTAGCAGACATACTACTAATTTAAATGATACCAACCTTTTCCCTACTTAACAGTGACATTAAAGAAAGTTATTTCGAAGTATGTATTCCTATCGAAACTCAATACTTCCTGAAAAATCAGTGACACAAGCACCCCAGGTATTAGTCAAATCACAAACAGTGAACTTTTCCATCCATTAGGTGCTGAATCTGTAGCCGATTTCAAGAAATTGGTCTAAGTTGGACAATTTCCAATGTTTTTTCCCCCATTTTATTTTTTTACCAACTTTCGTGACTTTGAACTGTCAGCAGCATTGCTCACGATTCAAGCATCCAATTAGGAAAAAACCTGTTTTCTTTTTGGGACATTTCAACCTGCACCGTCATTCATTATTCCCTTATTTTAAAGCCTCGAATTCAATTTCGCCTTCCAGCAGCCTTAGCATTCTTTCCGGCCTTTGTGGTTAAAATAAATTCGTGTGAGTCGTAAAATTTACTCATAGCAAAGGAACGTGGGTGTTCGCCACTCTGAGCTAAGCAAAACTGGGCGCAGCATTAAGTCCCTTTTGGTGATGGCTCTGATTACCTCAATACGAGTTGAGTAAACCCAACAGCCCATTTTGATTTCGCCTTTGAAGAACATTCTTTCCAAGATTGATCCTACCTCCCTAATGATGACGATGATGATGATGATGAAAAACATGACTTTACCGACACTTTTAAAGTCAGAAACAGTTAGGTTTTGAGTTCCGTCTATTGCAGCCTAGTAAAATATCAACAATGTATAATTGCTTAACCATCAAACCTTACCAAATAATTGAAGGCGCACTTACACTGACAATTACTTTTTCCATCTAACCGAATATCCAACCAGGCAAAAGTTGCCCTGTTGATTTCACATCATGAAACAAAATGGTCCGAGCCCTTGCACCCTCTCCTAGTCCGGAGAATGCCAAATCTGCCCCGCGACGAAGCAAATGCCACGTTTATGCAACCATATTGGCCAACACCGGTGCCATTAGTCACCACCGAGGGTCTGGAGGCACTCTGTCAGCATTCAGTGCAGCAATCGAGTTTAGGCGAATACCACTTCCCAGGGGTAGAACGATGAAGCCTATCTACATTTTAACTTATTGGGACTGAATCGCTGCGTATTTACTAAAACCAACGTAAATTATGAAGAATTGACCCATTAACAAATCACAGCAGCAACATTTAATTGTACCTAAATACCGATTCCCCGAAGACCCAAAAAATTGCCGCCCTTAAAGGAAATACTACGTTATAAATTCAGAATTCGGTCGAGATGTCTCCGCATCAATCAACTGTGCGTACCTCTGGGATACAAGATAGCTTCGCCTAGCTGTCAAGGTAGTAATTTTAACACACTGTTAGTTTTCACCGGTCTCTACTAGGAGAAAAATTGATGAACAATGCACCAAAAATTAAACTTTCAGCGTCATACTCGGATTTCGATGAAAGCCGATTTACGAGATAAACACCGGAATCCATGTTAAACAAGTGAACGTTATGATTCAGCCAATAGTTCCCAATGATACACGGTCGTTAATAAAGCATTATGAGTGTGGATCGTATCTTGACGAACTAATTACTCCGACTGAAATTTTTTGAACACGGAACCCCTTGAAAGCACATTGAATAATGAACAGAATAATATAGAATTCGAAAAGGGAGTCTCTATATGGTGTTAGAATAACTAAACATAATGTAACGTAGTCCTTTGTGGGATTCGGTAGTTTGAATAAATAAACAAGGATAAGCAATTGACGAAAAAGTAAAAGCATCGACCACAAACTGGCAGCTAAGCTTTGGTCAAACGAACACCACCGAATAAGCTCAATTTTGACTGGTAAAGTTTACGGTCTTGTGTTAGTTTTTCAAAAATACTTAGTATAGAGTAAGTTGAGAAATATTCTACCTCCGTCATCACCACACTCACGTATACGATAAAATGAGCAAAAAATACACTACTCTGACTTTAATAAGTAGAAACACGTGGTAGAGAATAGCCAATCACTACTGTCACGAAACGGTGTCCCATAACGATGCATAATGCGGAGCATGAAAGTGTAGGAGAATACATGGACAGCCATTTTTAATTAGTAAATAAGATGCCCGTTTGCACAGCTAGTAAACCTCCCACAGTATGTCTTCCATTTCCGAGCTAAAAGATCAGAGGCCATACAAACACGAGCGTTTACGAAGACATCAGGGGATCATAGAAGTTGTAACAAATAATTTCGCATTACAGAAGTGGGATTCCGGTCATTTGGGATTTATCGCATCTGAAACGCATCTGCAGTGAGCCTATTACTACATTTAGCATAATCAAATAATAGACACGACTGGAATCAAATAAAGAAGTACAGCGTATTTGACACACAAATCTGCCCCCCCCCCCAATATTTGATTAAGCAGGAGCAAGGGCACACACAATTATCTTCAGTACCTTCTGTAAGGCTAACGACGTAACAAGTCCTACAAAATAAGAAGCAAAAAAGGGAGGCGATGAGGTCGCTCCTAACGATAAAGGTAATCCGCATTGATATTTGAGGCAATTTCGACCTCCCACCGGTCGCCGTTGTCAAGAAGCTTTTCCTTGTTGTAGATAAGTTCCTCGTGAGTTTCTGTAGAATATTCAAAGTTTGGACCCTATGAACAATAAGAATAACTTGAACAAAAGGCACACATATATTTGCAAAGAGTCTATTTAATTTTAGCTTTCAAGAGGTTGCAAAGCTTTAGATAATCTCTGACATTTACGTGGATTGGCTAGGGACGTGCGTATATGAGTTACAGTTGATCGAAGAGAAGGATACAGCGAGGTCCCGTATTCCAGTCGTGCCGATACAAGGCACCTGTAGTCAGATGCTTTAACCCAAGGTCAACAAAGCATTTAGGTGGATGCCACAAGCCTGACAACTAATTACACCAAACATCTGTAATCGTGGAGTTCACTGCTGAAAGTCACCAAACAAGATATTGCTGATCATATAGAAAGCACATCCATGGAGAGGTTATATGCATACTTCAAAGTTGGTGTAAATAATGATACAAACTAACTTCGTGAGAATAATACAAACAGCCAACCATCATCCCTATCCAGGTTCTTAATTACGAAAAATGACTTAATCGAAGAGCACTGAGTAAAATAATTACATAGTGTTAGACCAATTACGCAAACTTTCATAATTTCTGTGACTAATAGATATATATTGGTGAGAGTAATCTTCATTTAACTGCAAAGCACATATTACTAAGGACCGGACTTCGACATTCATGCACACAATCACCATGGGAACTCAAAGGCAAAATGTCCAAAGCAAAAATCTTCACCGATTTTTTTCAGCGTGAGAGCACAGTGGTATCGGTGTCAATGAGGTCAAGTTAGCTTCACTTATACGGTTTGTGCATGCATGGGAATAATACATACCGATAACGCATTAGGCCTATGATTATGTACGTATTCTGTATGATACTCGACCCCATTTATTTGAGCTAGGACCACATTCACTTACAATAACGGTACTAGGAAGTTACCTCAACAATAGCATCAACTGGACAAGCTTCTTGGCAGAAACCACAATAGATGCACTTGGACATATCGATATCATATCTAGTAGTTCTTCGGCTGCCATCCTGTCGGGGTTCCGCTTCGATAGTTATGGCTTGTGCAGGGCAAATAGCCTCACATAGTTTGCAAGCGATGCACCGCTCTTCACCACTTGCGTATCGACGAAGAGCATGTTCGCCGCGGAAGCGTGGACTAAGTGGGCCCTTTTCAAAGGGGTAATTAATAGTTGCTGGTTCTTTTAACATATATCCAAGAGTTATTCCGAATCCTTTTACAATTTCGGTAAGCAAGAGTTTTCGGGCTAGTGTGTCAACACCTTCAGCCATCGAATCATCCTCAAGTGGTTTTGAAATTATTTTGTAACTCTGAGGGATAGCCGAGAACTTAAACGTTCTTGAAATAGGAAATAAAACAGATCTAGCGGACCTCAAAGACCACATCGACGAAATACCTGACATTTTTAGAAACATGCGCTACACAGACAACTATTTTAAACGACGCAAAGTTTGTTATTGGAAAGGAATATTCCCATGATTTTGTTTACCATTGCAATAAAAATTTTAAATCTATGCGAAAGATCTTACACAAGCAACTCAACAAACTCACGGGAACAGACTAAGATCATGGAAAGGAATTTGATTAAGGGAAAATTGTGTATGTAAAATATTTTCTCCATATACGTAGTAATATAATGTTCAGCCAAGTCTGTTTAAATTCAATATTTTAACACGTTTTTCTAACTCTGTTGTATCAGAAATGTATGCTTAGGTTTTTCTGGATTTCCAGTCACTGTGGACGGGAGCTACATTGAAGTAATAAGTGGCCAATGAAACTCTACGTCACAAATGATGCGTCTAGCATTTTTGGTTATAATCTTCGTAGATACATATCCGTCAAACTCAAAAACATAATCATCACTTGCTGGACAGATTTATAAATTAAGATGGTTGTGACAAACTTTATCCGTCAGAATCTGGCCAACGTCGATAATGGAGAGCCAATTTTTTTTTATCTCGGCAAGTCTTTTTACCACTTTCAAACATCATTAAAATTATATCGTTTAACATCCTGGGTAAATTCATGATAACATTATCGAACATGATCCGTTTCCAATATCCGTAATATTTGCTAATGGTATATATCGTAACAGTGCAGATTCGAGCCCTTACTCAGTATCACAATAATGAATGACCTTTATAACAAATTTCTACTGGCATAATTAATCTACAGATATGAGTAATGCAAAGTTGTTTGGCTAAGGATATGCCTCTATTACCTTACTATGCCTCTTACTACTACGGCGCAGAATTGGTGATGAATGCACATATATACAAATAAATATAGTAATACACATTGACTGTATTCCATTACTGCTGCATATGGATCAACGTTGTCAAAATTATCTGCTGTTTTTTAAACTCATTTTATTGATAGTGTAAAGAGTGTACATTTATTTCAAGTATATTAGACCGTCATCCGGCAGCCAACCCTGATTGTGGTCCTGTCTTAATCCATGTTAAATCGCTGGAGAGCCAATCACGACTTTACTTGAGACCGGATTGCTTATAAAACCCGCTAGCACATAATCGACAATCTGAATTTGTCGTGTGGGCCTACTGGTCTCGATTTTGTTAATAGTGTCTTTTTCTATCCACAAGTAAGCCTGTATTTGTTTGTTATAATATGTTTGGCATTGCAGAAATAGAAGAGATGGCTTCTAGTGTCTCTGCTGAAGAACAGACGCCTGTTGATCGGTCGAAACGGGCGAAGTTTGCCAAGGTACTAGATGTTTTGTGTCGTTAAATTAGTGATTGCAGGTCAAGAATAAGACGCCTGCACCAGTACAAATAACTGCCGAGCAAATCCTCAGGGAGGCGAAAAATCGGGAGCTTGAAGTGGCACCTGCTGCCCCCACTCAAAAAATAACAAACTTGGCAGAATTGCGTGATTTTCAACTTCGAAAGCGCAAAGATTATGAAGACAATATCCGTAAAAACCGGCTTGCAATGCAAAACTGGATTAAGTATGCCAAATTTGAGGAAAGTCAGGGAGAATTGCAAAGGTAATTTATTCGTGTTATTTGATGCCTTATTTTAAATTTTGCCTAAATAGCTTATGCTTTTCGAGTCACAGTGTTGGCTCTACTAGTCCTTAGGTAATCTGTAGAGCACAGTGACATTCTGTTTGCATAGGCCTCAAATGTCTTAAATTCACCTGAACTGGTCAGATTGCGCTACGTACGGTTAAGTCAAGGGAATCTTCGATGGTCCATGTATTTTAGCTAGAAACCAATTTTTGAAGATGAACGCAAAGTGATGTGTGTACATGGATTGAGAGTAGTTTACTTCCAATTATTTTGAGAAAATCAAATAATTTATAACTTACGGGATTTATCTACTGGTGTTTAATAATGTGTCTTGCTAGCTTACAGCATTGTGATCTAGATCTAACGTTTTTGCTTATCGTGTGCTCACGTTTGCTGTATGATACCGGAGGCATAAACTAATCGAAAATTAATTGAATTTCTTGTTCTGTCTTTGTCAATGGACATAAAGTCCACTAATTTGTAACCAAATTAAGAAAATTGACTGTGAATGCAGGTACAGTATCGTTTTAGCGTCAGTATTTAACGTTTCGGTTAGGTTTTTACTTTGATGTAAAGTGACAATGAAATCGGAGATGTTAGAAGACTACCATTGCTCATTGATTGCACTGCAAACTATATGGTGTTGATCACTGTATTCATGATAATTGTGATTTTCAGTGCAGAATGAAGGACGCTTTTGTAATAATCTGTAGCATTATTTACATAGATATGAGGTAAATCAATTTACAGTGCTTCTTACGGTGTTAATCGCAGTCGGTTTCCGAGTGGTTAGTGTAGATGTAAATGTAGTTTCAAGAAAATAACCTACTTTTGAATCAATAATTTGAGTAAACCTTAAGAGAATCATTTGTTGTGACAGCGTCTTAGTGCTGTTTGAGAAAAAAAATGCCATAAGAGGAAATGTTTTCTCGTTCAAGTTGGTGCCTCCTTTTATTTGGTTAAATTTATGTCATGCCTTATTATTTCTCACCCTGGTTTTTGCTTTTTAGAGCTCGTTCCATCTTCGAGCGTGCCCTGGATGTGGACTTCCGCAATATCGGTCTGTGGCTTAAGTATGCAGACATGGAAATGCGGAACAAACAAGTGAACCACGCAAGGAACCTTTGGGACAGGGCGGTTACATTGATTCCAAGAGCTAACCAGTTTTGGTACAAATATACCTACATGGAAGAACAACTGGGTAATATCGTCGGAGCTCGTCAGGTCTTCGAGCGCTGGATGGAGTGGGAACCGGAAGAGCAAGCATGGCATGCTTACATCAATTTCGAACTGCGATACAAGGAGCTTCAAAGGGCCCGAATGATCTACGAGCGTTTTGTTCTTGTCAACCCCGAACCGAAAAATTGGGTTAAATACGCCAAGTTTGAGGAGAGAAATAACTACATAAACTCAGCTAGACAAGTATTTGAAAGGGCAGTTGAATTCTACGGGACAGATAATCCTCAAGCCCGCTTATTCATCGAATTTGCTAGATTTGAAGAAAGACAGAAGGAGGTATTTAGCTCACCTTTTGGGCTACGACAATGTTCCTTTGAAATAATAGTCGTTTTGTTAATTTTTTTAGCATGACCGTGCCAGAGTAATTTACAAATATGCTCTGGATAATCTTCCATCGGATGAATGTCCAGAAATTTACAAGGCATTCACACTACATGAAAAAAAATACGGTGATCGCCTGGCAATCGAAGGAGTTATTCTTAATAAACGAAAATTCCAGTATGAGTCGGTACGTTGTTGTCGTTACATATTTTTGGCCCCGAAATGTTCCGCTGCTTCTGAATTTTCCCGTTTTAGACTTAAAATATATGAACCCTGAGGTTTGAGGCGAATTTACTTGGGTTTTTAAAAATATAATAAAAATAGTTGCTTTAAGAGTATATTGGAATGGGGACACCAAACTATTGTCCATAGTTTGATGCCAATAGTTAGATGAGTAATTTGCTTTCTTTTATTGCTATTGTAGGAAGTGGAAGCGAATCCCCATAATTACGACGTTTGGTTCGATTATGTTCGCCTAATGGAAGAGGAGGGTTCGGTTGAGCAAACTCGTGAACTCTACGAACGGGCAGTGGCCAATGTCCCACCAATTAAGGTAGTGCTTTTGATTTGTGCTTTTTATTTTACTAGCTGATAAATAGCTCTGAGTAGTGTATTAGTTTGCGTACATATCCAAATAAGGGATGAACCTAGTTTGACATATTTAGTGGAATAAAAGTAATTTTCGACCAAGCTGGCATCATGAAAAGGTGTTCTACATGCGTGCTGATGTAAATAACCGTCGCGTAGTTTATTTTTTTTCTTACATATATACTTTAAAAATTAAATTGGGGCGAGTGAAAAAGGATTTCCCCCCATTTTTCATATTGGCGATCTTGCCGAGGAAAATAACTAAGGGAACCTGACAAATCGTTTCATAACTTTGAGCGGTTTGATCTTCGTGAACCAAATATTCCGCATGAAACGAAATTAATACTGGATTTTACGCCGTCTTCAAGCCAGCATAGATTCTGTTTGGTTTTTATAGGCCCTGACAAAACAAAGCCACGTTTCGTGTCCGCCACTTTATCAGCTACTTTGATAGTTTTGCAAATGGAATTGTTGAAGTCAGACCCTATCGTAGGCGGAGCAAATGGGCGAATCGGAGTAACGCTCCAAAGCATTGCTAAAAGTTTTAGGAGGCAAAAAGGAACGTCAAAGGACTTTGCCCATGTGTAAATAAGAGGTACATTCATGAGGTGATTTCAAAGGTTTGTGCCCGATTTTCGTCGACAGCAATCTTGACCGTGTTGTTTAATTTATTCTAAATGGAAGATTAAGAGTATTTCACCTATTCTTAAAACAGTTAAACGGTTGTTTAGTCGGTATCAAGGGATGACTTTAATCTAAACGACAAAATTCACCCTGGATGGCCTTCTGACGTTGAAAATGGCTTCTACCGGTGATTTAGTGAACAAATTTTCACTACCACTGAATAGATTGCTGAACGGCTTTTGACAAGTCGACCGCAGTTGTCTTTTTCCAGCAACTTGAATGCACATCGAAATCTGTATGAGTCCCTCATATTTTGACACAGCGGAACAACCTGAACCGTCTTTTTGCGACTGTGGTCTGTTTGTTTGTCAAAAAACGAACCCTTTTTTAATCAACTCAAAATTGGATTTACAAGGTGGTACTTGGAGGCATAGAAGTGAAAGAGCGGAATCGGTGGCAAGGGTCGAATTGCACTGAATGACGGGACAGTCGCAGAGGAAGCACTTTTGCGAACTTCTCTAATGTGGCCAGGCAATTGTGAGGAATCTCCGTCAGCAGCTCACCCAACTTAATGTTGAGGTCTAAGCAAAAGGTGCAAAATTGGTCAAGCGAAAAGGCATAAGCTTCCACTATGCCACCACCAGATCAAATGTCGTTCAGAAGAAACACCGCAAAAACTTGGGAAGTTAATCTGTGGGCGGACAGCATCCCGTATTCGTAATCTCTTTCCTTCTCTACAAAATAATTTGAATGGTACCGGTAGTAATTGGAAGAGTTTTGCGACATTCTTCAAAGAGAAACCAATCAGTTTCGACGAACAATCCAAAACTTTACAAGACCTTGTAGAAAATGATGGAGTGCACATTATTTATTAATAAGCGATATTTTATTTTCACGAAAATAAATTGCATTTATTTTGTCACAAATTGGACATGAACAGTTTCAAGCACCCAGTAAATGTCAACTAAACTGCGATATAACAAGATTGTATTCATCATCATCATCATTAGAAAGGTGCGAATTGAATCTATTGGAACAATCTTAAACTGCTCGAGATATTTACTAATCAAGGTTTATCTGGAGGCTTGGCTCACGCAGGAACTATTTGGTACTTTAGTAAACGTGGTTCACTTTTTAATCGACTATTTTTGTACGTCTGGCCACTGTCGTGCGGACAAAATTTTGTATCTTGGGAACTCAACATTTTTGGAACTGTTGCCGTTGTATGTAAAGTATCACTGAACGTGGTCTTTTCAACGAAGCGATTACTGTTCTTAATGCTTGCTCTCATCTCCACATAGTGAGATCTGGGCTCTTACCAAGGCAGGTTTCTAGTTATGCGACCAAGGCACATTGAAACGTCGCTGTTTTGCCTTTTTCAGGAAAAGCGGTATTGGCGTAGGTACATCTACTTGTGGATAAACTACGCCCTGTATGAGGAACTGACAGTTGGAGATGTAGAGAGAACTCGGGAGGTGTACAACTTTGCCCTTCGTCTTATCCCCCATCGGCGGTTCACCTTTGCCAAAATGTGGTTGTACGCTGCCAAATTCGAGATACGCCAGAAACTACTGCCGACAGCACGTAAAATTTTGGTACGAAGCCAACTGCAGACAGGTCACGGCTTCACTTTGCCTATTAATCTATGCACTTGTTGATTTAGGGTACAGCATTGGGCAAATGTCCCAAGGCCAAGCTCTTTCGTGGCTACATTGAGCTAGAGATTCAGTTGCGGGAATTCGACCGATGCCGAAAGCTTTATGAAAAGTTTCTAGAATTCTCCCCTGAGAATTGCACAACGTGGATGCGCGTAAGTTGTTGTTGTTGGCGTAGTTATCACTTGACAGATTTCATGGCATGATGGATGACTGTATTTAAAAAGTGAGATTTCAGACCGTAAGTACGTTTATTTAACAAATTTTAGAATTACAAGTAGTTGCCTTTATAGATTCTTGTAAGTTGGTTTTGGAAGTGTGAAACCCGATGTCCGTGGCCGTCTCCGCAAAATTTTCTGTAACGCCTGGTGGATTAGGACACAAAAATTATGTGTCGATTATCATTAATTTAACCCAGTTCTTACAAAATAGATCAAAAGCTATGTCCTAGGTAGGAGCTTAAAACTACGTTTCTCATTTTTTTGCGGATGCTACACAACCACAGTAGAAACGGTATAGTCGGTGCTACCTGATTGCTGCATCCCACTTAGTGGTGGTAGTGCAAGTCAAATTTGCCTTTTGTATTCTAGTATGCTGAAATGGAGGCGTTGTTGGATGAGGTAGAGCGAGCTCGGGCTATTTACGAGTTGGCTATCTCGCAACCTCTTCTGGATATGCCGGAGATCCTCTGGAAGGCCTACATTGACTATGAGATTGAGCAACGCGAGTGGAACCGTGCGCGTGCCCTGTATCGCCGTCTTATGCAAAAAACACAACATGTAAAGGTAAGGCGAACAGTAAATTGTTGCGATGATGGGGAATTTTGCTGAGGTTAAGGTCGAATCATGCAAGGCCACAATGGAAAATCCTTAGATTGATGTGATTGCAGTAACTGGTGTAGCTTGTAGTAACCATCGTATACCGGTGTGGACCAAGTAATCTCCTGGCCTTGTTTATTGTAGGTATGGCTGAGTCTTGCCAATTTCGAACTATGCGCACAAAACTCCACTGAGCATGGCAACGAGTTAGGGGATGTTGGTGCGTCAGCCAACGAGACTGAGACTCGGGCTGCCGTCGAACGCGCTCGTGAAGTTTACCGTGAGGCTAATCTGGCTCTTCGCAAGTCAAACGAAAAAGAACAGCGCGTTCAGCTCATTGATGAATGGAAGGCGTTTGAGGTTAGGCCTCGTGTACATGTATTTCGTGCCAATTTTTGCTGCTTGTGCTTATTGGTAATTTTACCGCCTATTTCTCATGTCCGCTTTGAAGTCGCCGCTTTATAAGTGGCCTCGCCATAACCAATTTGTATTATACACCCCAGCACTGAGAAGATGGAGTAAGTTATCTGGCAGCCCTTCAAATTGTCCAAGTGAGAAAAGTTTTTATTTCGGCCTTCTAATATCGCCCGTTGTGCTAAGTTATTTTCCAGATGACCGGCTCTTTATTACATTTGATGACCGTTTGCGCTGTTAGGAGGAGTACGGCGACGAGGAAACGCAGATGGAGGTTGCTGGGTTTGAGCCCCAACGTCTGGTTCGGAGCCGGCGACTTGAGGATGAAGCAGGAGGAGGCTGGGAGGAATACGTCGATTACATTTTTCCTGACACGACTGCCGAACAACCGAACCGCAAATTGCTGGCTGTTGCGACCAAATGGGCTCTGCGTCACGAGCATTCCGATGACGACGACGGTTCCGATACCAACGATGATGCCGATGATAACACAGTGCTAAGTGATGATGCCACCGCTGGCGGCGAAGCGGCCGAATCACCCTGAACCGGAGGAAATTCTTGTACTAACTGGTTGCAGCACAAGAAATTTATATCGAGGGTACCAACCATGTACAGTTAGTTTTTTTATATTGAAACTGCTCCCTGTTAAGTGGTAGCAAGACTTCGAAATTATTGGCAGATTACAAATGAAGTTTGTACTTTTAACACACTTTTCCCCCAAACCTCGGTCTTGGATTTCAGACTTCCTTCCATCTACCGTTTTCATACAAATCAGTGTTAATGTGTGAAACTAATGCGAACGTTTTCATAACGACGATCGCCTGGGGGTGACGCGTAGTTTGAAACGAAGTCACCATGTTTTGGAACTGCTTTTCAGAAACTAAACAGGAAGTCATTTAGGGATGTGACCTGGGCCCGTTGTAGTCTTGGCGAGGGCATTCTACTCGTTGCTACCAGCGCCTACCCAGTAGCGAGTCATTTTTCCCCTAAAGTAGCCGTCCTGAAATTAGTATTCTTAATAGTCTGCGGCGCTTGTTAAAAGGGAAGTTGGATATATAAGCATTAAGTTTCCTGTTCATGCTTCCTGCACCACGTTTACACATAACAAAGTGTCAATCGGGTAAGAAGATACTTGGGCGTTTTACTAAGGGTACTTGTTAGTTGCTCAATATTCCGTAGATACTAACCTAGGCCGAGTTGCTTAGTCACTAAATGGCCACAACTTGCCTCATTTCGGTCCGACTTTAAGCACGTGAAGTCTCGAATAAAAGTTTCACCCGGTCGGTTGATAAGAACAGAATGTAATAATATGCCACTCCAATACCGAGTCGACAACTGGGCAGTTCTTTCATTGTATCTTCGCCCGTTCGACTATAGAATCCACGAAAGCCGTGTTTGAGAGGGAGTAATAAAGCTGAAACTTGAGCGATGTAACCATATTTTGCCGTATCTGACTCCTTATTTGTATGCAATCATCGTCGATTGGCTGTAGTGAAAACGCTCTGCATAACTGACGCGAGACCAGCTGCTAACGACAATTTAGTCAGCTCGGTTAAGTTCGGATTGAATCAAGGTGATTTTTAGGCACTCGTTCGACATTTCAATGAGCACCGTCAACGTTTTTGGGCTGACAGTCAGGAAATGGATACTTGAGATGTAACTTAGTGCACAAGCTATATGCATTAAAAACCTAAGAGATTTTGAAAAAAAAGTCCGGTTAGGAATTTTCAACGTGATTTAATTTACGGTCCACTGGTCTGAATAAAGTGAACGTTAAGAATTCGTTCTACAACCCAATAAAAACGTAGGAATGGAGGAAAGCTACGAGCTGGAATCAGGGCGTTGTGCGCGAGATGGAATCCAGAGGACGGTAACTTCACACGTTCTTCCGTCCATAAAATACCAGTTGCCCTTTGGTGTGCCTTTATGCGACAGGCCCTAAAACATACGATAAAATTTGTCGGGTCACCACACATTTTAGCCCGGGTTTCAAAAATCCGACTTGGTGTGGAACACGTGGTAATGAAATGATTATGTACACAGAAATGACTTCAATTACGAGCAGTGACAAAACGATAAACAATGAGGTAACGGTAGATCAGAGTTTAGGCAAAATTTCTAAAAAAATGCACCAACCACAGCAGAGATACCTATATAAGTCTAGTGCTCAAAGAAAAGATGGACAACCTAACCTGTAGTTGAGAATAACAGTAATTATAAAAAAGACAGTTTTACCTGAATAACTTCTTGAGAAATGATTCCACCAATGATAGCATTTATAGCGACGCTTGACATTCCACAACAAGACCTAAAAAAATAAATGAAAGCTGTACCCAATATTCAAATAACCTAATGAAGCCGGAATCTTACTCAAAATCCTCGATGGATAACAGTGTCGTTGGTACACCTAGATCTTCTGCCACATTGTACCACGCATCTTGAAGGGCCTGACTTGTAATGGGGCCATTTACTTGAGAGATCACTAAAAAAATGTCACAAGCAAAATGGCCGTAGGAAGTTAGAATGGGTAAGATGACGTGTAACTTACAGCGCGCTAGAAAAAAGCCCTTAGGCATCCGTTTCGCAGACAATCTTGAGGCCTGCTCACCACGCCAGGTGAGGTCAAATAATTCTTTAATAGACGGGTACTGAACAAACTAGAACAGGAAGAACATTAGTGGAGATCGTTATCCAAAACACCAAAGCATGATGTAACAAATAATAATGCCCAAAACATCAATCGTGCTACTTACCACATCTTTAATAAACGACTGAGTAAAATGACTTACAGAAACAGGGCTATCGCCATTAGCGGACTTAGGTGGATCGGTGTTGGCAACATCCCCAGACGCTTTCACCCGATTTTCATCACTAAAACTCAAGCAAATTTTTCTCCTCAAACCTTTCGTATGTGTAGCACCCAAGGTCAGCGAAGCCTATTGCATGCATCCCAAATGACAAAACGCAATGTATTTTCGACTGGTTGGAAAAAGAGCGAAATTTGTTCGCATAAAAAATCCAGTCATTTAAAATTCCATCGTGGAAGTCCAAAGCAATTATGAATTCATCGTAATCTTTGTATTGCTTATAGAGAAAATCAGCTTCAATGTTGGATTCACAAGTGATGCTAACCATTGTATTGAGAGCCTGTGCTCTTTTGACGGCAGAAATATTTCTCTTTGACTAGATTAAAAGATATCACATGTCCTACCAGCTGCCCAAAGTGCGATTCCTCATACAAAAAGCAGTGTTCAATGTCATCTTCAGTAACGGTCTTTCTATCTGCAATCGTCAGAGTACTAATGCCACAAAGGACAATATTTTTAATGATTTCCCCAGCCACTGGTGACAGGCCTAAGAGCAGTAACTTAGCACGTTTTAATTTTGACTGTGCTTCTAGGCCCCACAATCGAATCTGACGATCATACAAGGCAGCTTCTTCTTCAGAAAGTGCTTTAGGTGTACACATTAAACGTCGAACTCCCGCCAGTACACACGATGTTTGAATCAACTCCGGCACTTCCAATTCAACCTTGACTAAAAAGTATCTCGAATTGCCCATTAGATATTACTCTTAACCAGATAAAACATTTATAACAAAGTTTTTTTGTCAATAATAGTTAAAGGAACATATATTTACAATATACAATGAGTAAAAGCCTACTGCTTGACAAATCCTAAAGAAAAATGTTGACGATGAGTTTCAGTAAACGCTTTAAAAATTGGTGCTAGATTAAATGTTAAAATGATGCCGACGTTTATCCAAATAATTTATGGAAAAATACCAAAGTTGTCTGTCCTTTTTGAAAATATTAAGGTCTCAATGAAGCCTGCTATTTGCGTATTTTTTGTCATAATTAAAAAAGTATTACATAACAAGCTTCATAATATAATTTTTCTGAACATCCCTGTCGTTATTACATGAATGAAAAGACCTTTCTTCCTTTAAATCAAGACTTCAGCACGTTATTCAATCATCTTGTGGCTCTATTAATAATTTTTGTTGCAATCTGCAAATATCTGCGGTGCTAAAGGTTCCTAAATAACTTGTTTAAATTAACTTATTATCATCTCTGACCTCTTTAGTTTATTGCAACTTTTCAAATTGACCTTTCAGTCCACAAGTGAGCCCTCTTCGTAATGTTTTGCTTTCTTTAGCAGTTGCTTGAAATATTATAGTCTTTTTGCATGGTAATACATAAATACTTTGATAGTGCATTGTAAACTGGTTGCGGAAAATTTTCTTGTTTTCATTTTCTAATGAAAATCTTTTTTTGGATTGCCTTATTTATGACAAAGTCACGTTTTACCTACCAGGATTCTTTTTTTACAAAATAGACACACAGAAATGAAGGCATGATAAGTGTATGAAATTTTGGTTGGGTTTCTATGTCTTGTTTGCTGTACCTTAACTTTTTGTGCCTTACTGAATTTTTTTACATTTTGGCCTGGTGTATGAATCTTGATTTTAAACGTGGACCATTAATTCTAGCAAATATAAATTTAATTCTTTTTCTTGCAATTTTGCTTCTTATAGATCCTTTAATCAATTTTTTTGACAATTGCTAATACAAATTGCTTCAAATTTTCTTGAATCTTTGCCTTTATTCTTGCAAAATTATTAGTAAGTAAGGTTCAATGCTAACACTATGACATAAGATAAGCGCACCTTTTGGTCTATAGCAGGCGTTATGAACATCTCAAAACTTCTGTCCAAATCTGAGCAGCAATACGTCCAAAATTTGATTCCTCCAAATAATAATGCACGGAGCGTTTGCGTCGCTCGTCTTTATTATGGACAGAAAGGTCAGTGGAAGTTGCAATCTTCAGGAATCGTTACTCTGGAAAAACAAGCAGACTCAGGCAATGTAGCAATTCGGTTTTATGACTGGGAGGTGAGTTTTTTCCCCTCTGATGAATTATCAGATCCCTAGAACACAAATGCAACTTCCTCATATTTGTTTACTGCCATAGTATATTTTTTACAGGATATATTTCTAGATCATCGCTTACCTTTTGTTAATTATCAGTGAGATATTATGCAGTTGTTTGAATTATTTCAGGTTACATAACCTAGCAGAAGTGGTTGTATTCTAGAAAGAAGTGGAGGTAATATCTGCCATTTTATGGCTTTTAATTAATTTCTTTATTTCTCTTGCAACATGTCAATTTCTAAGGGATACTTAAAATGATATTTAAAATTTTTTCGCTCCTATTGTGGTTCTATTAATTATAGAAAACCACGTTGTAAGAATGCAAAACTATTTGCCTACGTGAAAACACCAGTTACCGCAAACCAGTTGCCTTGTAAAAAATAATACAAGTCCAAATTTGACACTTTTAATACAATGCGTTTATTTGCTAATTTTCGAAGTGGTTTGCACGAAAATTGTACTGACTATATTTTCCGGTGCACATTAATTTTGCACCACGTTTATTTGATTGTTGAGGAGTTCTGCATTAATATTAATTACTTTTGATTAAAAAGCGATACTGTCAATTTGATTGCATCGCTGTGTCAAATCGAGGCTGCCTTTGTTGATATTAAAACAAAAAACTAGTGGGGAGTGTGCGCAAAAATATAAAAGGCCGTGGAGTCTTGATGCCAACTATTTTGTAGTAGTTAAGTCATTAAAGAAGGGGCTTTTGTGAAAATAGGGACCTCTAGGGACCCACTAATACTTGCATGTGCGAAGACGCTGTAAACAAAGCAAGTGACATAATAATATGAACAACACTACTTTTGAATTAAGATATCAATGTGATATGTCACATAAACAAACAAGTGACTTATGACAAAGGAAACAAACAAGTGGCTTATGACAAAGGAAATTTCGTTTGATTCAGCCCCATACTATAGTATATGAAAGAGTCTTATCAACATAGAATTACCCAGGCACCGGAAAAGCAGGATGAGAATACTGTTTCATTATAACTCCACTATTAGTGCATAACAGTGATATAAGTCTATGCAATCGTGTTGTGTATTCATTTTTTAAATTGTTGTTTAGGCTATCGCTCATTTGTCTGTGTGACAGCTCCAAGTACATTAACCTGTGTTTAACCAACTAACGTCAATGGCGCGTTTCACTTGCTCCACTGCAACAACACAGTAAAAGTCTCTTTTGACGTATCCTGCTTGCACTGGGGTACAACTGTGGGCACCAACACACGCATAACGTAGCATTAGCTCCGTCAATAAAGAGCTAATCAAAATCAACATTAAAGTTCGCATGCCGATTTTTCGAAAGTACGCTAATGTTTCCTATTCGCAAATGAAAACGCCACACGCAGCAGGAAACCCTTCGCAAACGCTCCGATGTAAGAAAATTTAGTAACACCTTAGGAGGATTTTGTGAAGGTCACAAATCAAAGAGTTTAAAGCTTGCTCATAATTTCATATGAAATGTGAGATAAAATTATGAGTGGACTTACACGTGCAACAATTTTAAAAAGTGTAATGAACCTGAATCCGACGACTTGGCAAGAAGAATTTACATTGGGACCAGCAAAACACAAATTTCATACATATTCTCTTAAAGTTATTGAATACGCTTGTCAGTTATTTTAGTCCACTTTGTCTAAACCGGTCAGGATTTGTGGTTTATAGGGTGTGGGGAGCAACAATGTCCTTCTTTTGGTAATTATAAATCAGTAATCTCAGAGCATTTCTGGTTCTAGGGAGGCCGTGTAGTTAACACAACAAACCTCTACCTGGAGATGCAATACCATGTTCAAACCGCCAAATTTCATACATTTGCGGGCGAATCTGGACCAGTCGGTTTGGCATTTGCCGATTCGAGGGAAGCTGAGGCCTACTACTGCTCTCTCAAATATGAACTTTCTTCACCTTCTGGCGGAGGCCGCATAAACAATAAACCCCCCGGCCAAGGAAAGACCAAGTTTACTGGTCTCGCTAGACGGGCAATAATGGTAATGCAGAAGTCTCATATACACTAAGTGCTCAGTTGTATTTCTTTATAAATCTGGTAATTTAGAAACCATAAAAGACACAGAAATTCATATAATGGGCACACAGTATAGTTAAAAAATTTCAGACACATAATGGTTGATTGATATTTGTGATATTTGGTTATAAAATCTTCAACGATGCCAAAGTGTCTTACCGGATTTATAAAAAAAAGGAAGTTTGAAAATTTAATGCGGACGTCAGTAGATCTAAGGCCTCAGAAATATAAGGTATGCCAAAATTCGTCTAATAATTCACGACAACAATTTCGACAAGAATTTTCCATGTTGCGGTTTATTTGGTGTGCGAAACGGAATGAGCAAGAAAATTATCATGTCTGCAGCCGTTCCTAATGTATTTCCTTAAAGGACCCGATCACATGCATTCAATGGAAGTTTTGGGTTCTAAACCAATTAACTTGGGATGCGTTTTTGGTAAGGTTCCAGTGTTAATCGGTGACTCGTTAACCAAACATCAACTGTCAAAATTGAAGTGACTTTGAGATGAACCCACGTCACTTTCAGGAGGTTTGACGAATGCAAATAACTTTTTGTTTTTTTTGTAGAAAGTTCAAGGCAAAGTAGAAAAGGTCAGTTTTAGCATTTTTGGGTTATGTTTACAGCCGGCCGTGTAACCTTTATGTTTTCTATCTCCAACGAATTTTAGCTGGTGAAAACCTTTGCGAAATGCGAAACACTTTCAGTATTTTTTCTTATTGTAATTTCGGCACTTCGATTAAGTTAACTTCTTTTCATTTAGGTGCTTAATCGCAATGAAAATGATGTACGTATACGTTTCCTAAACAGAATTATAACTTTTTATGCTCTACCAATGAGACGCCAGCCTTGTTGAACACCTTATTATCCAATATGTCTTGTTTTCTTTTAGAGCAATAATGTGAACGTTGCGTTTCATGGTTTCAAACACGTCCAGCATGTTGGCTTGGATTCAAATGGAGAAGAATTAAAAATCCAGGCGCGTGATGAGGAGGTAGCAGCACAACTTCTTGCCTTACTTGGGATAAAAGTAGAGTCTAAGGAGGATATGAATATTGTCTACAATGTAATCCAAAGCCACGGATCCAATGAGGTAAATGACTCAGGAACTTCACCGTTGCATTTACTTCGCGTACTTCCAACAAAAGTCCTTGGAGCCCGATTTTCTTAAACGAGTTTCTTTTACTCTCTGAAGCAGCTAACAAAATTTGACTTGATTGGTACATTGAGCAATCAAGCAACTTAAACATTTGTTGAAACAAAGTGAGTACTAGTACATTAAGCGACGACTGAGTACCCTCTAGTAGTTTTATATCCTAGCAGCTGTATTCTTGAGTTGAATTACGTCTTTTCCAGGAACCATGATCAATTTTTGACCATGCATTTTTGCAGCAAGTAGCTCTTTTCTGTTCCCATAGTAATAAATTAACAGCCCTAACACTAAATGCAGACTTTGAACACTTTCAGGGAAACATCTTTACAAGGTTTCGGCATCATTATTGCTTAAATCAGTCTTGCGTTTTATGATATGCTTGAAGCTCGGATTTTAAAAGAGGCCTGAGTCGAGTGCAGCATTAATTTTTATGCGTTATGCTCTGCACCATGTGGTGGGTGTCAGTGCACATGAGTGCCGTGTCAATGCTCCGGAACATAAATTTAACCGTAAATTATAAATAGAAAGTATCTATTCGCGCTCTTCAACAATAATTAACAATAGTCTGACTTGATATGCCTGCACCACACAGAGAAAATTCCAAACCGACGTTTGCTCAAGCTGATAAGTCTCGAAGTTCACCTCACATACAAAGCAACTGCTAACTTACCCTTCACCCATGTAGTGCAATTCAAAGCTGTTCACGTATTGTTTTAAGTAATAAGACCTTTGTGAATTAATCAAAATGGTGGGTTTAGTCCAAACAACTTATCAAATAATAAAGTTATTTTACTAGGTAAGGAATCCACTTCATAAAGTTTGTTTATATTAAATTTTCGTAGATTTTGTCGAATTGTGTGCTCTTGAAAGGCAAAGCTATTTTTCGTAAAAGAGATGACGGCATTAAACGCTAAGTCTGCGTGTTTCATCCACATTAAGCTTGAGTTTCATAAGACACTATTTAGATCATTTTTTTTTGTTTTCGTAGGTCAGACAAGCACTGGATGCACGTCGCGACCGCCAAGACTCACATAATTATCAGAGTGCCAATGAAGTCTCACTGATTCCTTCACAAAACGGGCCTGTTCCACCACCGCCGCCACCACCTCCTCCCCCTCCTTCTCTGGCTGCGGCACCTCAATCTGCCGAAGCAGGCCGCGAGAGCTTGCTCAATTCCATCACTCAATTTAAATCGACCATGTTGAAACCGGTAGAAGAACATTTTTGAATTTCCATAGTTTTTTAAATGCCAGCGCATTTATTTCTATACAAGGCAAGCATGTATTAAAATGGGAGTACCGAACAGCCAGTTTGCCTTAAAATGTTTCCAAGGCCATGTGTTCTTGGCAAGGTGTTCGGCTATTTCTTTGAAATCAGAATTCTATCAATTTCTAGTTTGTAACCTTTATTTTTACTCTATACAATATATTTAGACACAACCAGTTGCAAGACGCGATCCGTCACCAGTCAAAGAGCCTGATCTCGTGGATTCTATTGGAAAGGTGCTGATGGAGGTATTGAGTAACCGTAGAAAACATTTGAGTGACTCCGAAGACGAATTCTGATTATCTCCATTGTTAGACTAAACTTATTTAGACTTTAACCATGTCTTTCATTAATTAGAATTCAGACTGCCTTGTGGGCCGCAATTTTCTCCTTTATATTCTAAAGTTCATGTGCTTTTACAAAGAAGCACCGGGGCCACCAACGAAATGTATGCAACCACTCGCGTCTGCCATTTTTTTTCACATCGAAGCTTCTTCTTTCATTCTGTTTAAATAAATATTATTAACTTCAATAATTTACCCTTATTCGCTCTTGTGTCTTTAACTGAGAGCACCCGCCTTTGACTAGCACAGATCTTTAGCAACAAAAATGAGTTGCGGCAAATAGATCCATGTTTTCGAACGGCATTTCTTCTTGTGGTTTTTATCGTCAATTTAAAAGCAAAATGGCGTAACTTGTGGTGTACCAAAAGTCATCAATCGAAACTTTTTATAAAGAATTACATGAACTTATACGATGAGTGCTGTCTCTTCGCTTGATCAATACACATTTCCCAGTTTTCAGCTTTTAATGGTAGTGGTGTAATAGGCACAAAACTAGACTTTGGTTCTATTTAATACCATTAAGCCTGTCCTGATAGCGCGACTTCTGCCATACTAAATACTCGTTGTTCCAGAAGTACCAAACGCTCTTGTTCATCTCTTTGTGAGGCACTGTGCGCATGACGTGATATCGATTATTGCGAAGGCAATATTGTGCTGTACTTCTTGAGAGCGGAAACCCTACGTCTGTAACCAACTTGTCAAGGGGTGCCACTATAAGTAACTGATTTGAGCTTCCTCTCTTCTTTCGCCTTTCAATTTTTATTCATTTAACCTGTATTAGGAGAACATTGGATAAGACTTTGGTTTCCTAGGTTTTAGAAAAGGGAGCCATTGGGTTTATTAATAAGTCAGTTTATTTTTATGAGACCCTGAGTTTCCAAACATAGTGATTATGCAAATTTTTAAGTCGATACTAAGCTTTTAGAATGGTTAACAAATGTCAGTCTTGGAAGTTTCCCGCCAGATAGCGCTACACCCATGACTGGGTTGACTCAAGTCAATGTAATCCGGCTGCCCGGTGTGGTTCCAGGCCACATGGTGGGGCGTAAACACGATTGTCATGTGAGCAGGATCTCCTTTTACCTATGATTATCTCTTACAGCAGTGAATACAACATCGCTACTCCTGATGTTTGTGGCTGCAAGGAAGCCCTGCTAAGTCAGCTTACCTCGCAAAGCATGCATAAGCAATTAGAACTAAACGTTACGCATTATTGGTGGCATAGTGAAAAGCTCACTTTGAAAGGAAGTGAGCCAACATTGTAGGCCCAATCAAAGACATTAAGTGACGTGAGACAATTCGCGAAAATCAGTGTATCGCATGGGCCTTGACCATTGCACCGACCCCACATTCATTAGTCCTTAGTAAGTTCAAATGATAGAAAGAAGTCCTAGCGTCTTAGTAACTCTGACATTTAGCCTGACGAATTGGGGGTAAAAGGTGACAACTTACCTCCCCTCCACGCACAATTATGTCATGGGAAATAATTTCGACAGAGGACTTCATCGAAATGGTTTTAAGGTCAAGGCTTTCTTGACGAAGGCTTTTGTGAATCATGGAAACAGCGTCGCTGTTATTGTGCGTTGTTAAACAGGAGCAACTCGAAAATTATCCTGGGAAGCACCAAGGAATCTCAGCTTTTAATACTACTTTTTTTCCAAAGGTGTAACTTTTTGGTGAATTTGGAAATGAATAGATTTGTGGAACATTTGTGTTCTGCTTAAGGTGTATTTATATTTGTCACTGGGGTCCGATTCCTACAATATGTAATGAAAAAGCCGAGCTACTTTCGTTTTATCTAGTCATGAATGGAGCAGTTGCCAAGGTGTTGTGCACATATCATTAATGCTCATGAAAATTAAAATCAGGTTTTTGTGTGGAGTCAAACAGTTGGGGCTCGAAGTACAAACTACTGTCACAGTTGGAGTCAACAGATTTTACACTGAAATGTTACACCATTCAGCCCACAGTTCAAATTAGACTCTAACAGAATAAAAGAAATTAGGCAAAAAAGTTTGCAAGCGATCACGGAAGGTAGGTGTCCCTCACAGTGGACTGTGTACTGTTAAAGGAATGGATTTTAGTATGTTGTTACGAGAAACATGATAAACCCAATTTTATTTCTCTCGTAGCTAAATGAAAAAACCCCTTGGCAAAATGCCCAATCTCTGGGGAGTAATTATCAAAACCAAGGAGAAACAGTTGTAAACTTGGCTTAAAGAAGGCCGCGGTGAAGTTCACAGATAACAGTGTAAGCGAAAACTTCTACTTTCCAATTAAATCTTTTAATTAATTTGGCGAATGTCATTTGGGGCTTTCTCTCTAAAAATTCTTTGCCCTTGCATTCTACGACGGAACACACTCACCATTAAATACGAAACGTGCATACTATAGCAGTAACTAAGTCCAATGAAGTCACCACGAAATAATAGCAATAATTAAAATTAGCACTAACTTGAACGCAGGAATTTTAGTTCTCATGGGCGATTCCCATAGTATTAATGTCAGCCCAAGTATTTTTATCAAGTTAACGAATTAAAGAGCCAGAAAACCTGACAAGACAGGGCAGCAAAAAGACTGAGAAGAGGACGTCAACATCGGGTTACGACGCATTGGTTTTATTCTCTGTGATAAGGGGATCCAGGACGCAGACAAAAAATTAAAGGAAGGACAATTTGTAGCAGCGAACACCCACCTCTATTTGAAATGTTTTCTTGAGCCACACAGAAACAATTTAGGACCAAAATGACGTTAACTAATCGCTTAGTAACGTTATAACAGGTGCCACTATTCAATAATGGATTGCTTTAACCCGAATTCCGGTTCGTGAAATACCGGTACCTAATTTTTCCAACTGACTCAGAAAGCCACCCAGTTGGCGATCCAATCCCCATGCGTTAAGTCTTGCAAGCAGCCCACGATTGGGCGCTTATTTAAAATATTTAAATGCGGCTACTTGCTACAATTCAAGCAGTTCCGCCAATCCGATGTCTCAGAATGGCCTCATTCTTGTTAAATTAATCACCTACACTACGCTGGCTAAAATTGCGGTAGTTGAATTTAGTCAAAATCGATTTGCGTATCAAAACGATTCCGTAAAATGGAGAAAAGTGAAATGACGAGAGAGCCGGTTTTTTAGATGAACAAGTAACAAAATATAAAATCGGAAAAATCAGTATGGGCTAAAGCTGCTACTACATGAAGGCAACAGTCTGTACAGGAGAAGTAAATACAGAAAATTTGTGTTTTGGAGTCCAGTTGGCATATTACGACAGTATGAGTGCGGGGGAAAATTGATGCGGGAAAGAATCAGATATATACACGATGAGAGAAAGAGAAAATGGACTATTTAGAACAGAAAAGTGGGACAAAATATGGTTTTGATGGTGGGGATAGTAAACACTATTTGTCAGCAAGTTTGTTTGAATTTTCAGTGGACACGACTTCAGTTTGGTATGCTACTGCTGATTCTGGGCAAGAAAATGAGGATGGGGACCCAGGTTTTACATCAGTCGGAATCAACTCCTGCGGCTGTGGAAGCCCTACAGGTAATCTGGGGGAGTTCGACAGACCAGTAGACGGACTGGAATGCATTAATGAAGGTAAACTTGTTGTTGATGGGCTATTAGACACCATTCGTACGTGAAAAGTTGCAGGCAAAATAGGGGAGGGAGACGATGGTGTAGAAACGGGAGGCGTCCATCTATTGGTATCGCGTGGAGGTGAGCATAACGTCGGGACAACACTAGATACATTAGTGACTACAACTTCCGATGAACGAAGAATCTTTCCAAACCTAGAAAAGATACGCGGAGGCTCGGGGGAGCTTTCACGACTTCCCTCTGCACTTGAAGCAGTGTCCGTATTTTGCAGACAGTTATATGCTCGTTTCTTTCCAAGATTACTGCTTTGAACAAGCGGACTCGCACTGCTACAACTACTCACACTGGCCGTCCGCTTTTTAGTAGCAAGACCAATGCCAGGAGAGTAACACTGGACGCGGGAAGAAACTGGGGAGGCAACCGGTGACGGGTAACAAGAAGATGATCGCGATAAAGACACAATAGCTTGAGTTGAAGAAATTGCGACTGACGGCTTAGACTCGTTTACCACAGCACTTGCAACTCCCCCACTGCTCGAACAAGTGACGGAGATCATGAGGGGACCACTAAAGGAGCTAGGACGGTGACTGACAGGACTGCTTCCTGATGAGCCAGGAGAAGAAAATCCGCAGTCTGAAGATTCGTGTTTTTCGTTTCCTGAAAGACGAAGGCTTGCCCATGAAGAGGTCAGGCGAGAGGTCTCAGTTAGATGGCGTTCGTGCTTCATCTCGTTTTTAATATGGTCCTCGGCTGATACATAAAACTGTGCAGAGGACCTCCTCATTACACGTCTCTTCTCGAAGCCTTGTTCCATATTCACCTCTAGAATAACGCGTGAAGTTATGTCTGAAAGAGAAAGCAAACGGCTTCTAATCGTTCTGTAACCTATAAAATGAAGTGTAAAATAACTAAGAAATGGACAAAAAGTTTCCATCAAGAAGCAAAGCAACGAAAACGCATACTAGAAAGACGAGGTGCGAACGGCGTGTCGTAATTTATGCAGTGACCCACAGCAAATCAACTAAGCAAGTATCGCTAAACGTGAGGAAACTTGCTATGCAAGTACAACATACAAGCAGAAACTTTAAACAAAACAAAATGCTAAGTAGACATCCAAAATAATCCATTGCGGCGAAAATCACATAGGGGATAAATTGTCGAGGAAAGCAGTTATCACGTTTTAAAAGCAATGAACAATAAAGATATGACGTCAGCGTATATCACCGTAGTGAAACGTCCAAAATGCTAACAGTAATACTCAATAGACTAAACCAGACTACGATAAAAAATCACTAACAGATACCGAAAACAGTTTTACCTTTTACTTTAGTGGGTGCGCGCTAAGTGTTACCAATTTAAACCAATTGAGAATTGGGAATTTAGTTACCTAAGGGTCTTA